ACCAGCTGAGTTCTGTGTTGAGTGGTGAAAGGAGGAAAAAGTTTGGCTTTCTCTATCTCATGCAACAATTCCAAGTATTTATAATAATTTTAAATATTTAAAGATGATAAAGGAAATACGTGCACTTAGTTCCTCTGAATCCCCTAAAGTAACAGCAAAGAAGCTATGTGTGGTTTGTTACTTTATAAGGTACAAGCCACAGGCATAAAGAATGGAATCAGAGACAAAAGCGATAAACTTGGAGCCCACAAGGCAGCAATGACTGGCCACTGACCAGCAGACCCGACAAAGAGAGTCCTAAGCTGCAGGTGTGGAAAGCCACAGACCAACTCACACTACTCTCACACTACCCAGACCAACTCTGGGTGCCTGTGACACCCAGAAACTGGCGGGATCAGGTACCGCTGCCATCAGTCACACTGGAGCTAAACCTGCTCCAGATGTAAGTTCAGTCAAGGAGCTTGGACATCCCCCGGCCCTCAATCCTCCCCACCTAGTGCAGCCACACCATGAACCACGTATCAGAAATCAGCGCTCCAGAAAGGTAAAACCAAAGGTCTCTGGATTGGGTCTCCTCCCCAAATTCACACGGTGAGGTTGTAACTCTCAGCATCTTAGAACATGGCTGTGCACAGAGATGGGTCTCTCAAAGGTAGCTGAGACTTCAGAAGACACCAACCCTGCTGATGCCTGACCAGGACTTCCAGCCTTCAGAACTGCGAGCAAACGGTTTCTGCTGTCAAGCCCCAGGCCATACGGTCTGCCGGGCAGCCCTGCCAGCTAATGCAGTATTCTAGGAAGAGAACAGAAGGAAGAAAGGAAAGAAATTAAGTGACATTTAGACTCCTCAGCCTCCTTCCCCACACGGCTGCTGAGACTCTGGGTTCAAGGAGGACACTGCTCCCTTTAGACCCTGAGAAAACAGTTACTGAACTTCTCTGAGAAACAGCCCAGCCACATAGGAAGTGTACTGGTGCCCAGCCACACACACACACATGGTTTCCACCAGCTTTTGGAATCCCACCCTGAGAGGGGAGCGGGTCATCAAGGGTCAGCAGACGTTCCAAGAAAGCATT